TTTTTACTGTTTTTAAGTCAAAAAAAAAAGAAAACGCTAAACAATCAGAGCTGAACAAAAAACCAATTTTTTTTGTTGAAATTCAAACTGACTTAAAACCTATTAAGGTGTGTTAATTTTTACTTAATTTGCACTGTTGCATTGTTAAACACTCTACACTTATCTGGCTAATTTTTACACTTCCTGTTCTTTTAACCGTGTTTATTGTAGGTCTGTTGTAAATCACTTTCATTGTAGAGTTCACGTCAAAACAGCTATCACAGTTTTCCAAGACGAAGAACAGGCCGTTGGCGAGGCATTCGCATGGGTATTACGATCGATTACAATGTAATCAAAACTCATGCAGAACGACTTCAGAGACGACAGATGGCTTTAGAAGGTTGTTCGGAGAAAGAAAAAAATTTTACGCCATATGATCTGTCCGCAGCCTACAGTAATGTGAGCATTACAGCGATCACAAATTCGACACAACTACAATCAATAAATTTTTCAAAAACTAGCATGCAACACCAGAGAGGTTTTTTAAAATTGAAATTACAAAAATATTTTAAGCGAAAGAACTTTGTTTTTGGAAATTTGCTCTTATATCATTTTTTGTTCTCTCTGAGTTCATTTTGTTTTAGGACTCGCTGGGCAAAGATTTTGCAAATAATCAATGTGAAAATCAGGATTGGAGAGAAAGTACGCAGAACTTAGATTTTACGGTAACTGAAAGCGATAACGATCTGGAATATTCATCCGTAGATACCAATGCATCTCTTGTACAATCGACCCCATTAAACCGTTCCCTGAATGTTTCGGTAGTTCGAAATTTTGCCAGTGTTCAACATATTCCACAGGAAATTATTAACAATGTAAGAAGTTCTCAGAATTACCTACTTTCATTTCTTAACGCAATATTCCTTGCCAGTAACGTTGCAGTGAAAAAAACTTTATCTGATTTATCAAAATCGACCCTGTAAGTTCACTGCACGTCAAAGAAAGGAGAAGTAGCCAATTTTGGGGAGGGGAGAGGGGTTGCAGTATTGGAGCAGGGCCGTACAGTACTGTAATTAGAGCTCTGGTCTTATACTTTTACATTTACGGTGAGTCGAAGTATGCTTATTTCAGGCCAAAATTATTACTTGCAAAATAGCAATTGTCGGGGCAAGAAAAACCAGTAAAAGTAGTTTGGTAAGTATTTCCGTTTAGGGTTTTTGAACCAGTGATCAAATAATTTGCTTAAAAATTTAAATTTTGAAGGCAAAACGTCAGTTTCTTAACGAAGTTTTCTTTGGTGAATCTGAAGACGAGGCTGAATCAATCTTTAAACGACAAAATGACCGGTCAAATGAGGGCATTTCAAGCCGTTTTATGATTGATATCCTTGACGACAATGTAAACGTTCAGTTTTGCTTCAACATGAGCGATTACCGATGTTAAAAGTGCTGACAAGAACAATAATGATTGAACAATTTTACAGAACGAAGAACAGAATATTCTTCGAGCGGATGCGATAATTCTTGTTTATAGTATTGCTGATACAAAATCATTTACTGAAGTTACAAAATACTATCGGTCAATAATGGCAGCAAAAAAGCATATGGTTCGCTAGTGTTGTTCTGTATTAATCTTCACTGATCCTAATTTTTCATAGCACCCAATTTTGAATGTTCTCAGGAAACCGTTCTAACTTTTTTTCTTTTAAGTACACTTTTTTCTCTGTTTTATTTTTTTCTATTTCGTCTAATACATCCTGGAAGCAGCCCAAAACATCAAAGATAAAACAGTTTTAGCTTGACATATTTCCTTCCAGTTCCCAATCGTGTTGGTTGGAACAAAAGCTGACATAGACAAGAAGCAGCGACGAGTGTCATCATTTGAAGGACAACAGTTGGCCCGAAGTTTTAACTGTCCATTTATCGAAGTTTCAGCAAAAACCAATGATCGAGTACACGAAGTAATGTTTCTTTTTAGCCAACAGGGACATAGACTTATTTGAATTTTGAATAATTTTGAAGAAAAGCACCTGAAAAACCTCTTGAGCAATCAAATAGACTATTTCCAGGCATTTGTCGAATTGATGCGTTTGGTCGACAAACAATATGCACGCTTTCGGAGATTTAAGAAATCGCTGTCACCAATTCTGCTCTAACTTGGATACATAAGCAACGTAAAATATGAACTTAATTCTCTGTTCAAGAGGATTTTATAAACTGATTTATGATCTCATCATGTTACGTTAACCTCACATTCCGGATTGCTTTTTTTACATTATCACTTTCCACTAAGCAAGATAAATTTTTGATTGCTTACATAGGAAAGGTATGCGGCCATCAATTGTGTTAAAAATTTATGTAATCCAGGACGTTATTTTGTTTTATAGAGACTTTATTTCTTGTATGCCTATAATGTTGTTAACTCAAAGGGTAATAAACATTTCATGTAACCTTAAAGAGACTGTTAATTAAAGTCAACAGGCCAAATGCGATATAAATTGCCCAATACTATCACACCCAACTAAAGTGATATTGCGGATAAGTTATCTGTAATAGCGGGGGTGGGGTTGGGGGGGAGGGAGAGAGGGTAAAGATGAGAAGGGCAAATTTGAAGTGTAACAACGGTTTCATTGAAATATTTTTCTACCAAACATGACTGTGCTATGCTGCTTTGCCGAATCAGTAAACGGAGCTGATGAGTAACTTGCAGAATTGAATTTCTCGGTAAAATTTTATCGGTTTTTCAAGTTGTAGAAGTCCTGTTTTGCAAACATCTACTTGTGCTTAAAATTATTCTTTTAGACAGTTCTGATTCCTCAGTGAAACTAGTCTTTACTCAATTGGACTTTGAATTAATTATTTTTATTAAATTTTTAGATTACTTTGAAAGTTCCGTAACAAAAGAGTAAAGGTTATAGGACGAACGTGACATGACCGAAAGCAACAACAAACTAAAGACCTGGGAGTTGCATTCGCATGTACGTAAACACAGACATTCAGCGTTGGTAAAAATAACTATATATATATATATATATATATATATATATAT